GAGAAAGAAACCCACTTGAGGCCATCCCCACCTTTCCCCACCCTTAACCACTTCCTGGGCCTGCCCTGGTGACTTGACAGCCACCTCTGTTTATTCTTTCCTCCTCACGCAGTAGAAACAACATACATGCACATCCATACTCAGTGTCCTCCAGCCTGAGGCCACCAGGGTCGCTCCCGCAGTGAACAAGTTGGGTTTATGACTCAGGGAGGAAGAACCACGGGCCTCGCAGTGGGAGGGTGTTAGAAAGAACCAACTCTAGGATTTGCGCCTTGGTTGGGAGAGTCTGGGAGGCTCAGAGGAAACGGGGCCCGCTCTAGATTGGGAGCTGCAGAAAGCGGGGCAATCCTGTCAATGGGTGTCTCAGTACTCTTGTCTCTAGAGAGGGGAGACCAGACCGAGGATAAAGCCATAATTGGCAAAGAAGAAACAGTCATTTTTTCAGCCAAGGGCAGGAGTGTCTGGTGTCTGTTGGGTGGCACAGAGACCTCGGTTTGTCTCTGCTCAGACAGAATTCGGAAGTGGCCTTACTCTGTCTCATTTTGTCCTGGTCTCAGAGTAGCCCTGTCTGAGGCTGGGACTCTGTGGGATTATTTATGTCTGATAGGAGAGTAGCACCGCCTAGTTGTGAGAGCCAGGTCAGCCACCGAGTGTCAGGGGCTGTTCTTTTTTTCTTTCTCAATCCTTATAAACAGTCACATAAATAAATAGAAGGAAATGCCCATATATATTAAGAGTCTCCTTCTTATTAAAATCAATTAACAAATAAACATTCCCCATTATACTAACTCCTCTTTTCATTTCAACTTCCTTTTTTAAGCCTTTATATTTATCTTTTTTTGTATACTTTGTCTCAATTCTTCTCATTTGAATATTATTATGAACTCATGGCCTTTCATAGACTCAACCTGGCCAATGAAACATGATCATAATAGTCATTATCAATTATTAGTATGGTTCTGTGTAATCTTTTAGGACTTACCATTTGATCCTCCTTTGAGCACTGCTCTGAACATCCTTGAAAGCATCCTTGCCTCTGGAGTAGCAGACATTGCAGACCCGTGGAGTTCTAGCTTCCTTTGAGTGGAGAAAAGCCCATGGGCGCATGCGTGAGTGCGGAAGATGCTGCTAGAAAACACATCTGTTGAAGGTTAGAGTTCGCTCTGATTATTCTAGTTTAGCATACATTATCATCCCTGCTTCCCTTAGAGAATTAGTGTCGTCAACCACTCAGGTTTCTCCTGCACTGACAGCTGTCACTCCAGGAGTCAGGCTTATTTCTTACTGGCACTTGATCCAACTGCTTCCATCATCTTTAATGTGGTCGCACCAGAAACCAACCCCTTATTGTGGTTAGCAGTTACTAACTACTGCAAAGGGACTTCTGCTTTCTTAAAATTACAAAATAATCAAAGTAATAAGTGCATGTGGTTAAAACAAATCGGTTAGTACAGTGGACTCTGCTCACCCCCTTCCTAGTTAAAAGCAATTGGTTTTAATTTATAGCTTCTTCTTTGGGTTGTTAATCAGTATCTTTAAATAATACTCTTACACTGGGAGATGGAATAGTGTGCAAGTGTGTGCTCTGGAGACAGGAAGCCTGGATTTGAATTCTGGCTCTGGCACTAGCTGGGTGCTTTGGGTAAATTACTTAACCTCTCTGAGCTTCCGTTTCCTTTCTTTCAGAGTTGCCATGAGAACTAAAAATGAGGTACTGCATACCAAGCACTTAGAACAGTGATTGGTACAAAGCAAGTGGGCGTCAACCACAATAGTTAACAAATATTAGCTGTTGCATTGTTCTTTTTTTGATTTTTAAAATTTGGTATTATTTATTTACTTCTGACCAGGATAGATAAGGATTTCACATATTTCTATACTTTTCCTTATACCCCATCCCCACCTTCTCCTGATATCATTTTATCACTTATTTTGTATCCTGTATTAGAAACCTTTGTAGTTGTAGGTAATTACTCACAGCTTCATTTCTTATGCCCCAGCTGCAGCCAGCATTTCCTGGCTCCCCACGTCGTGAAATGAGGCTGGTAATTCTCCTCCTCGCTCAGAGCCTCACCTCCCAACTTCCACTGTTGTGCTTTAATTCATAGATTGATTGGCAACAAGTGTATTTCGTTATTATATTTAAATACTCTGTTTTGTTTTAAAAGTTAAAAATCAAACAAGGGTGTTTCTATTTTTGTGATATCTTAAACATTGTTACTGTGGAGCTCACCCCTACCTACAGCTGCAGTGCTTCTTGCCCAGCTTCAGTTTGCCCTGATGTTTCTATTTGCCTTTGTTTTACCCCTTTCGCTGTTTGCCTTCAACATTTCCTGTTTCTTTTAAACTGTGCATCATGTGAGGAATTATATCAGGTTTCCTTTCCCCAGAGAACCTTCACTTCTTATTCCAATTGGACTGGCTGCTCTCCGGGGCTGCTGCCTGCCTGCTGTAATCCTGGGATTCCCTTCTCTTTGGGCTGATTTTCCTGATTCCTGGAATCTCTCCCTCAGTGATCCTTCACCCCACCCCATAAATACACACACACACTTTTATTTTGTTTGTTTGTTGCTGCATCTCATTCTCAAGTAACTTTCTAAGGAATGATTGTGGATGGTAACTTTTCTATTCCCCATTTAGCTCCATTTCTTCTCTTATCCTTTTATTTTCTGGAAGCCTTCCTTAACTTTCTTTCCCAACCTTTCTTTAGGATTCTTTATTTTGCCAACCACCTGTTAATTCCCAAGGTCTCTTTTTTTGTTCTATTATCGTTTTCCCCTTTCAGTGCATCTTGTTCTCATTTTGTGAATAAAATACCTTTCTAATCTCTCTAAAGAAAAGGGTCCACATTTTTAAAAATTATTTTCTGTTTTCAAAATTATCTTCTGGTGTCATTCCAAAATTTTCTTCTGGTGTCGTTTGTTGCTTATCTTTGTCACCCTTTTCCACGCTGTTGTCTTTCATGTGTGTCTGATGCTAGACGCCCATTCGTATTGAAGAGGGAGGGAGGGTGATGGCAGGCTTCCCTGTGGGATGACGGGATGAGGCCACTAAATGCTGAAATACAGAGATACTTTTTCCGGAGTCTTTCTGTCCTGATGTTCCTCTCTGGCATAGACCTAAGGCTGCTGTGAATGTCGGATGGGCTGAGGGGCTGGTGGACTCGCCCCCGCTTTCCCCCTGGGCCTCCCTCCCATCTTCAGTCTCCCTCTCTGGGCTCTGGCTAGCAGGCCATTCTTCTTGCCTACGTGCTCTCTCCCTGTTTCTCCGTCAGCAGCTCCCTCCACTCCTCTTTATTCAGCATCACTTTCCCCATCCAGTCAGTCTTCAAACATCTGCTGAAGTCTCTGGTCTCCTGTTGACCCCATTCCCAGTTCTCATGGTGGCAGAGCAAGGAGAGGCAGTGTGCAGGTTCTTGAGTCTAGCAGGCGTGTTTGAACCTTGACCCCAGGCTACCACTTACCAGATTTCTGACCTTGGGCAAGTCACGTAACAGCTGTGCCTCCTTTCCTTATCTGTAAATGGGGATAGAAATGGTACACACCTTCACGGTTATCAGAAGAATATGAGTTATCATTTGTAAAGACTTAAAGCGATTTCTGGTGCAGAGCAAAGTCCACAAATGTCAGCAGCTCCTGTGGTTAGCTATTGTTGTACCGATAAGGACCTTCACTATCAGGCTCAGGGGCTCAGGCTCAGGGGGCTGGATGATAGGTGCTCTTTGACCTCTTAAAATAGTGCCTAAAAAATCAACACGAGCTTTCTTTCCTCATCTCCCAAAGCGAGATAATCACAAGCAGAATTGAAAGAAATTCTATATAAACATCTGTTTTTTTCAAAAGACTACTGAGAACTCCTAAGACTGAAATGACGGACACCTTCACATTTGTGAGCATGAATGTAACCTGGTATAATTTGTTTGTGTAACAGTTGGTGTTCCAGGTATGAAAAAACGTTTATGTGTTGATACCCTCAGACCCAGTTATTCTATTTCTAGAAATATCTTAAGGAAACAGTCTCAAATGCAGGCAAAGTTTTATGCGAGGAGGCTGTTCTTTGCACTGTTATTTACATGAAGAATTAGAAACAAGCTAAGGTCCAGGGATTAAGGAGGACAGCAGACGGGCCCGGGCACCATCGGGAGGGCTCCGCGGTGCACAGCAGGGCTGCAGGGAGGGGCCAGCACCCCGCAGGACCCCAGGCCCTTATGGGATGGAGGATCTCACAGAAGCACAGAGAATTCAGGCTTCAGAAAACTCCAGCACCAGGAAGTTTATCAAGACAGACACTGGTGCATGGGGTGCAGACATCACTCTGGACTGAGAAGGGTTATTTACAAATAAAGGTATACACACGAGCAAGGATCTTTGTGTGTTAAAAGGAGTAGAGCATAGTTGTCTCCAACATGGGATTTGGATCAGAAAGTCTTGGTTAAGCCCTGGCTCTAGCACTGTTGTGAAAACTTGGGCTAACCTGAGTTTAGGTGAAACCTAAACTTTGTGATGGTTTCCTCCACTTTAAAACGGGAGCCGCAATAGCGCCCACTGCATGGAGTGGGGGTGAGTGTCCACTGAGGGAGCACGTAGGAGCCCTGCATGTCACAGGCACGCGATCAATACTAGCCATTATCCATTAGGAAACGCAATTGTTCCCAAGCTCAGGTAATTTCCAGAACATTCCTTCCCTTGTTTTCTTCTGTGTTTGGTTTTATTGCTTCTATAACTTCTCAGACAGTCGTCTCCTCTCTGATCATCTTCTCCTACTGCCCCCAAAGGACGACAGGACTCTGACTTTTCTCAGGAATAAGCTGAAGTGAGGCGAGTACTTTTCCTTCAACAGCAGGGAGCAGAGCCCAGGAGACAGAGACACACTTTGGGTTAAGTGCATTCTGGCATTTGCGGCCATCCCAGAGGGAACACCTGGAGACCTGGCCACTCGCTGCTCTCTGTTGCCACAGCTGCCCCACATTTGACCCCACAATTTATTTTCTCTTCCCCAAGGGTGAAGCCACACCTCCTTCCAGCCTGGACGCAGACTGGTGAGCTCTCAGGGAGAACTCTGAGATCCTGCAGGTGACACCATGACCTCAGATGCCCGTGGGGTCTGCCCAGGTAGTCACTTCCTCTTCTCTGCTGGTTCCTACTCACGACCTAGAATTGAGGGTGGCGCTTCCAGGCTGAGTTAACCTACAGAGGAATCAAGAAGGGGGTTGATCAGTGTCCTTGAGCCCCTCCAAGGGGAGTCCCCCCGGAGGTCTATGGGGACGTCTCCTTCAAGGTCCTCTTCTCAGGGTGCCATGGCCCTGGGGCCCACTTTCTCCCTCCCATGTTGCCCATCAAGTGACTCAGAGTGAGGCCAGGACAGCCCACAGGGAGGTGGGGGACAGCCGAGGGGAGAGGAGAGTTGATGTCCCATGGTGGGGTGGGGAGAGGAGGTGACCTGCAACTCTGGAAGCCTCTCCTGCCTTCCTGCCACATCCAGCCTCCCGCTCTGCTCTGGCTGATCCTAGGGGATTACCAACGGGGGCGTTCCCTCCAAGTCTTGTCCTGTTGTCAGCCTGACTGCTTTGTGAGGGTCAGCAGACCACTGAACTGGACCCAAGTCTGGCCTTTGCCATCTCCCAGCTGTGTGACCTGAAGCCCCTTACCTAACCTCACCTGTAAAATGAGAATATTTCCTTGTGTTGTTATGAGGATCAAATATAATGTGCGTATGTGGCCTGGGCCAGTGCCTGCCACATAGTAGGCCCTCCCAAAGGGTTGATGCTGTCCCCTCTACCTGGGTCCTTTTAGTTCCAGGTGGAAACTGCCCCCCCCAACAGCAACCTCTGCCCTGGTGGCTGTGTCAGGGCACCTGCCCTGTGGCCCCATTTATAAGCACCTGCTTCCCAGGTGTGACTGCCTCTGGCAGGTGCTGATTTACTGCTCTCCAATACCCCTCCCGAGACCCAGCTCTCAGTTATTCCCTCCACCACCCTAATCAATACATCCACCGATTTAGTGCTGGGGGGTCCCTCCATCTCTGCTCTGCTTTCCTCCCTCCTTTTAGTGAAGCAGGAAAGAGAAACAGTGAAACAACCCTCCACCCACCCACATCGACACTCAGATTCCTTAAGTCCTGTTTTCTCAGAACTGCTTATCCATGCCCCTGTCGCTGCATTGCCGTGGTAACCAAAGTTCTTTCCTTAGTCACCGTGAAGGACACGGAGGGGGACAGACCAGAAACCAGGAGCTCCCCAGCAGGCCCTGGGATCCTGGACGGAGGGCTCGGGCTGGTGGATTCCTGAGGATAAACTCTCCCTGGGGAACAAGAGCATCTCGTGGTTGACAAATGGGCTAGCCGGGGCTCCGAGGGGCCCATGGGGAGGTGTGTCCCCTGACACAAGCCTGGGGGAGGAGTGATGCAGATCGAGCACAAGGATCCAGCAGGGTCCAGCCCCTGCCCACCCGAGGAGCTCCCTCCATCGCCCGTCTGGGAGCGGTGTGATCAGCAGGAGGAAGCCTCTGTGCACAGGAGTTTCACTCAATAGTCTGTAGTCTGGAACATTACTTTTAAATTGAAAAAATAAAAATCCACAGATGTACTATATGGTAGAATGCAGAAATCACAGGAATTTTTAAAATACAAGGAGGATTCAAAGTCACATCAATGAAATGTCTGACTTTGGCCTAGGATTCAGCTCTGGACCTTCCTGCTGGCTTTGGGCATCACTTATCTTATCTGAGTTTGCTTTCTTCTTCCGTGAAGTAAGAATAATGCCTCTTTGTGTGTATAAAGCAGGAAGCACGTTTTATATCAGGTCCCAGTGCACACACGTATATTCTACTCTCAGTCTCTTATCTGCATTCCAGAATCTCCAAATCCATGAAAATCGCACATTTTTGGGAGCTCATTTGGGCAGTGATCTTGCCTCGTGCTGACCTGAGACCGTTTATAGTTGTGACATTATTGATCCTGTAGGGGAGGAAGACATTTCCTCTACCTTCTCTGGGTTCGTCTGGCCAGAGAATGAATTAAATTCACACGAGACAGAATAGCAAGAGAAAATTAAACAAAGCTTTATAACATGAATACATGGGAGAGGCTCAGGCAAGCCGCGCAACTCGCCAAAATGGCTGAAGCCCCCACCTTAAATATCATATTCAGCTAAAGACAAAGGATGTTGGGGTGGGGGGAGTCAGTTACAGGAGGTTACCAGAAACAGGAATAAGATTATTATGCAGATTTAAGTCCTTGCCTTTCCCATTGATTAAGAGTTTCTAGAGAGAAAGTCATCCCCTTTCTTCTTCCTGGTACAGAGAGGGAGGCACCTTTATAGATAGAGATTTGCCTTACAAATGTAAATGTCTCCTAACAAAGGGCAAGCAAGTTCCACCCCTCAGAGCCTCCTTCCCTGTCCCAGTTTATCAAAAGCAACCAGCCCAATAATCCTCTCGCCAAAGAGACATATCTTGGTGTGGCCAAGACCTGTCCCCCACAATCCTGTTTAATGTGAATATTCATTTGTTTCACTGTCGAAACAAGAATGTGTTTGTTGCCCAATGGTAAGTAATATACCCCATATGCCCTGTGTTCTTGTGCTAAGAGATTAAAAGTTCTTAGTTCCTACGCATATCTAGATCCCAGGAATTAGATAATTAGTTCTGGAGGCTGGAGTCCAAGATCAAGGTGCTGGCAGGTTGGTTTCTGGTGAGGACTGTCTTCCTGGCTTGTAGACGGCTGCCATCTTGCTCTGTCCTCACCTGGCTTTTCCTCTGTGTGCTGAGAGAGATCTTTGGCATCTCTTCCTCCTCTTATAAGGACACCAGTCTTATCAGCTTCGGGCCCCATACTTATGACCTCCTTTTACCTCAATCACCTCCTTCAAGGCCCTGTCTTCAAATCCAGCCACATTGTGGGATCAGGGCTTCAACACAGGAATTTTGAGAGGACACGGTTCAGTCCATAGCACCAGGTGACTCCATCAAAAGTACCCCAGGTGGCAGCTGATCGGGAACATTAAAATTTAAAGACAGTATACTTGATAGCATTTATGCTCTACCACAATTTCTTCTAATCTTATTCTTTTTTCTTTCCATCTAGACAGCAATAGCTTTCTTGAGGCTGCCATGGAGTACTTCTGGAAAACAGTGAGCAGAGAGGAACTGCAGCTCCTGCTGACCGATGGTGAAGCCTGGGAGAGATTTGTGGCTGAGGCTGATTTGTCAAGGTGACCTCCACGGGGTGCCCCAGGAACATCACCCAGGCCTTCCCCAGGGCTAGTTTCCTCCTGGTAGGCACACCTCCTCCAGGCAGTCTCCTGTGGTTGGGGTTGAGCATGTCCCTTCTCAACAATCCATGAGCAATAGTTCCTCCACATCATCAGCTGACAGTGAATGGCCTCGGGTTGAGAAGAGATGAAACCCACAGGGCGCAGGTTATGTGACCTTGGGCAAGTTCCTTAACTACTCTCTGCCTTAGTTTCTTCAATTTGCCTTAGTTTGTTCAATTTGATTGTGAGGAAAATAAGATAATGCATGTAAAGTGTTTAGCATAATGGCTGGGACACGGTAGATGCTTAATTTAGATAAACTTTTAAAAAGATTGCTGGGAGAGACAAGGGCTAAGTGTCTTCTTCCAGGAGATGAGAGCCAAGTGGGACTTCCTTGGGACAAGTCTGAAAAATCCTGACACAATGATTTTGTGCCCGTGGGGATTCTGGCTAGAGCCCTTTCTCTCTCTGTCTAAGGAACTGGGCAAACATATCACCATCCTGCTGGCTCATAGGCGGGGAGGCTGAAGTGCAGCTGGCCTGAGCTGGGCTGGATCCTGACTCTCTCTGCCCAGCCCTGGGGCTTTGGGCTCATGTCTCAGAGTCTCAGATTTGTCATCTGTTCAGTGGGACTAGCAGTTCAATCTGATGGGAGTGTGTTGAAGGCCTTAGAGTGAACTGCAGGGTCAAAGGTGGGGACCCAGTGCAGTCGTCCTTTCCAAAGGCCCAGGGTGGCCTGGACCAGGGTCAGAGCTGGGCTCAGCATGGAACCGGGTAGGTCCAGGTTGGAGGACTAGCAGGAAGGCTTAGGCATCGAGGCGGGACTAGAGTGAGGTGACTGAGGCTCTTAGGGCACAAACTTGAGGAGGCTGTGGACGTAGCAGAGGTCCCGTGAGTGGGAGAGGGGACATTTCTTCCCTCCCTGATGTGATCCCCTCGCTGCTGGGCACAGAAGGCCCTGGGGGATTGTTTCCTCCATGGCCTACCTGGGAGCTGGGAGGTTCTCCACTGCCATTTAGGACTCCCTTTGGGACCGCAGAGCAGCCCCTGACTAGTAGGAAGACAGTGTGGCTTAGTGACAACTCCCAACATCACAATGGGTGGCTGGCAATTTTGTGTGACTGGGGGACACGGAGGAGGCTCACAAGTCCCCACCAAAGAGGAAAGTATTTCCTCCACTAGCCTGTCCCAGTGCAGGTCTCTTCAGTCTTAGAGAGTCATCCAGATGGTTCTTAAAATCTCCTGAGTCTGTTAGAGGTTCTGTAAAGTGGCACATGGCCTTGGTGCGCATGCATGTGAAGCTGTCACCAGCCTAGGTGTGAGCTAAATTGATGACACCTGAGAGGTCGAGGGTGCTGGATGGTGGGTCAGGAGTCAGGCAAGTGGGCTGGAGAGTCTGAGGGGAAGCAGGGTTACCAGCAGATGTCCTGCTTCCCACTCAGCTGGGGCAGTGGCTGGACCCAGTGACCTTCAGCTGGGAAGGTCAAAGGGCATCAGGCTTCCAGGAGAGCAGATGTCAGGCAAGATGATCAGCAAGGTCCCTTCTAGGTCTGAGGTTTTGGGTTTTTTTAAAAATCTAAGTACGCAGAATTAGCCAAACTGCAAAGTCTGAAGGCACAGTCCTCATGACCGCCCTTACTTTGGACACCAACTGCAAATTTGGGGGGTTCCCAAACCCACCCTCAGATTCAGTAATTCCCTAGAAGGATGCATAGAGCTCACTGAAAACTGTTGTACTCATGTTACACTTTGTTACAGGGAAGGGACACGGGGTACAGTCAGCCAAAGGGAGAGACGCATAGCGCAGAGACTGGGAGGGTTTCAAACATGAAGCTTTCGTTGTCCTCAGGATGTGTGACTCCTGTATTCACTGTGTGACAGTGCACATGGAGCATTGCCAACCAGGGAGGCTCCCCGTGTTAAATAAAAAACATTATCCAGACACTTGTTCAAATCGTATGGAAGACTTAGGACTATAGCAACATATGTCAAGACTATCACAATAAAGGAGAGACTGGGCTCAACTCTGAGTTCAGCAGAGACAGCTGGGGCTTTATAGCCAATGCACAGAATGAGTGAGTTGATGGATGGAAAATTCCTAAGAGGAGACAGTGAGGGTAGGGCGAGTCTTGCTAAAAGCAGGTCAAGGACTTACTCATCAAAGGTAAGGGGTGAGGAACGTGATCAGATATCAACAGTGGGGAGAGTCTCTCTGAACTGACTTAGCAGAATTCTTCCTACACCTGGGAGCTACAGCCGGGGAGGACAGGACAGGCAAGGTTGAGGCTGAGGTCTACTTGAGAAAAGGGCTCAGAAGAGCCTGCCTGAGGTTTGCTCATGAAGAGAATCTTTGTCAACCCGAGCCTCAGTGTACAGAGTCTTTATTGGGACTTGATGACATGCTGCCGCCATGGCTGACCTGAGGTCTCCAGCCCCTCCTGGAGGTCAAACTAACGCCTTTAGTGTCCAGTTCCTCCAGAGGTCAGAACCACGTGACCCAAAGCCCCCATCATACATCACCTTGTCAGACTGTCCAGTGGCCAAAGACCCAAGCAAATGAAGATAGTCCTATCAGTCAGAACATTCTAGGGGCCAGAGATCACTTCCCCAAATTTTACATTTGTAAAATTCTTTTCCATTTGATGTATAGTAAAGGCTCTGTGATTTCTGCGGGAGAGATCTTATCAAGCCCGTTTTACAGAGAAGCAGACTGCCTTCTCAATCACTTGACTTTCGTTGTTACAGGGAGGAGGCAGATGCGTTACGCGAGGGTCTGAATGAGATGAACACAGACGTGGCCATGGAGGACAAGGTCATGATCCAAAAAGATCAGGAAAATACAAAGAAGTTTTTGGACAAGTTTCCTCAGGTGAAACGGGAGCTTGAGGAGCGCATCGGAAAGCTCCACGCACTTGCAGACAAGGTTGACAAGGTACACAGGGACTGCACCATCTCCAACGTGGTGGCCAACTCCACTGGCGCTGTGGCTGGCGTCCTGACTTTCCTTGGCCTGGCTCTGGCACCCGTGACAGCAGGGGTCAGTCTGGCACTCTCGGCAACTGGGATAGGGCTGGGAGCCGCAGCTGGTGTGACCACTGTGTCCACCAGCATCGTGGAATATTCAACCAACTCGTCAGCAAAAGCTGAAGCCAGTCGCCTGGTGTCATTTGACGTTGACAAAGGAGAGATTGTCAAGGAAATTCTATGTCACACTGCACCCCGTGTATTTTCCTTATCAAAGAATTTCATCGAAGTCGTGGAAAGTATTGGGAAGAACATCCGTGCTCTCAAGGTAGTCAAAACCAAACCTCACTTGGTAGGCCATGCCAAGAGCCTCATGACTGTTGGGAGGATCTCAGTCAGAAGGGGCAAGCAGGTGAAGAAAGCTTTTGGAGGTACTGCTCTGGCAATGACCAAAGGAGCCCGGGCCATGGGTATGGCCACCACAGGTGTCTTCCTTCTGGTGGATGTGATCAGCCTTGTCCAAGATTCAGTGCATTTGCATAAAGGGGCAAAGGCAAAGTCAGCTGAAGAGCTGAGGCAGGAGGCTCGGGAGCTGGAGAGGAAGTTGGAGGAGCTCACCCAGATCCATGACATGCTGCAACAGGGCCTCATTCTATGGCCCACAGAGTAATGCAGGGAGCACAGACATGTGCGGGACAAAGGCATGCAAGTACCTTGTTAGCGGGGGCGGGGGGGGAAGAGGGTGAGATAAAATTTACGACAATGGGTATTAAGGAGTTTGGCATTTCTGTCGCTGAACACAGCAGGGAGGGGTTAATGCAAATGTCAGGTGAGTGGAAGAGAAGGAAGGAATGTGGAGCCTGGAATAAGGGAGGAGAGGGGATTGGAAGTGAGAGGAACGGGGAGAAACAATTTATTTTGGACTAAAGAAGACACTGGGGGCATGGATAGAGAAGTGTGGAAGAACAAGCAATGAGAAGGCTGGGAAAACTACAGAGTTGAAAGCAGTACAAAGCTAGAGCGTTAGAATTGTTGGAATATGGAGAAGTAGCATGGCTCCTCTATTGACCCCCCTCGTGCTTTGACGTCCCAGCAAGAATGCAGTCTTTGCCTGGTGGTGGTCTTTAGCTCTACCTTTTCAAGATCAACTCAGCTTTGTCTTCCAGCAGGTTCATCTTAGGTAGGCAATGACTTCTTGATGATGATGATTGTGGTGATGATGATGATGGCAGCTGTGGTGGTGATGACAGCAGAGTAGGTGGAACATTTGGCAAATCACTGGTGCTCTTTGGGGCCAGGGTGCGCTGAGAGAGCAATGAAGTCCCAGTGAAATTGCAGATGCTTTTTTGAAACAGTGGTTGGTTTGAAAAAGTATAGAAAAGTGAAACCAGACGCAAGCATCAAGTCAAAGAACCTTGTGTTGTGTCAAGATCAACCAACTTGGAGTCAAGAGACGCAGCTTTTCTGAGCCTCAGTTTCCTCATCAGTGGTGGGGGGCGTTGCTGGACAAGATCATATTTCACATCAGTCTGGTGTTCAATAGACGGGATGAATAAATATGGACTGATACACTGAGCCTTTGTTGTGCTGATCGACACATTCATCTGGCCTCTGGATGCTTGACTTCCCTTCCCCATGAGCCTGTCTTCCAGGATCTCAGGGAGCAAGTCCGCCATTGCTCCTCCTGCTCGCTCACTGGGCTCCCACCCTTCTATTTGGTCCCTTCCCTCAGACCTCAGTGCCCTGCGGGCCCCACTGGAACACCTTGGGGAAGCTTGTGCACATTTGGCTTGGGCCGAGCACAAGCATGATCCTTACCCAGTAGCTGGGACCCAGGACTGACATGTGGCACATGAAGCTGATTAGGATCAGAAGGGCCTCTGTGCAGGTGTGAGAGAGGGTCAGAGATAAATAGAGGGACAGAGAGAGATAGCCGGACAGCAAACAGCCTCACTGGAGCTACCCTTACATGTCACCCAGACTCCAGCAAGAGCTTCCAGAAAGGTCTCCTTGTGTTTACTCTCGTTGCTGTTCTCCTGCCCCCTGTACACTGGGCCAGAATGGCCCTTAAGAATATAGATCTTATCAAGCACCTGCTTCCAACCCTTCAATGGCTCCCCATTACTCTTTGCACAAAAGCCTAAAGGCTCCATGCAGCCTAAAGTAGACTTGGGTCCCCTGAAGGCAGAGCCAGAGGAAAGGCTCTCTCGCAGAGGGTTTGTGTGGGAAGTGGTCCCCAGGAGCAGGACTGAGGGATCTGGGAAGGGGGCAAAGAAGGAGGAAAAGTCAAACCAAAGACATGTTCCTGACATGGTCAGGCATGTGGGCAATTGAGTCTGCCAGGACCTTCTGAGGAGCCTTTCTGGAATGGCCTCAGAATCATCTCTCCAGGGAGGAAGGAGGGAAGCATTTGCCCATTGCTGCCATCCCCCAGGGGCTTGCTCCAGTGGGCGCTGATTCTCTGTATCTCCATGTGCGAAGCTTGTGCGTCAAACAGGTTCCCATGACTGGAGCCCAGGCCAAGAAACAAGAGACACAGGACATGCAAAATTATCCCAGAAAGTCTGCTGAATCACTCACAAAGTGTATCCAGTGCCTTGGGTGTCCTTCTGTACATATCACCTTGCAGAAGACTTTCCTCAGTCCCTCTAACTCTCTATCAGCCAAATATTCTTGAGGCCATCAATGGATTCTTCCATTTTTTCCTGAAGAAGTCATCAAAGGCATGGCCACCTGCTTGCCTGATCACCTGAACAATGTGTTTCATCTCTTTATCAATTCTTCGTCAGTTCTTGGATATTTCTGTTTCTTGCATAGATTTCAGTTGGGCATTGAGTGTTTCAGGCACTGAGTAACTGAGTCGTTCAGTAATCCAGCAGTCCTTTTCCCCCTGAACTCTTATAGTGGATTTCCATTTTGCTACATGTACATTTGATGAAACTCCACTGTAGCACTTGTCACAGTTGAGATTCCTTTGTGGTTATAAGCAACAGAAACTGAGTCTGGCCAACATAAGTGGATCCACTGGAAGGGAGCTGGGGCAGTTCAGAGAATTGGAAGAGGGGCAAAATCTGCACAGGTCAGGAAAGACAGGAACCAGAGAGGGTCCGACTTTAGAAAGTTATGGTCTGCCCCTCAAGGGTCCTTCCATCAGGTGGTGTAGGTTCAAACACCTGGAATCCTGGTGTCTCTGAATGAAATCTCCAATTCCAGGAGACAGGATAGCTTGGGTTGGGTGACCATCTTCGTGGACCAATCAGTCAGGCTATGGGATGAGGAAGAGGAAGGGGTTACAGGGACACAAACCTTGCAGGGAGTCTCAGGTCAAGAAGCCACCTGATTTTGTGCTCTCTGTATACAGCCAACCCCTTGGCTACCAGACACACACATGCACTCTTCTTCTCACACAAATGAAAATAACTCTCATTAACCTGTTCTGGATCCAATGATCCCATATACAATGACAAGTGCACTCACAACTCCCCGGGTTGGAGACAAATACAAATAATCTCCACCTACTGGGTGTTGAAGTCATGTCATGGAGTGGAGGGCTTTGGCATGGTGTCAATGTTTCTCTTGCTCCATTGGGCTCCTCTCTCAATATTTTGCATATATATTTGTATTTATATACACATAGAGATATTTGTAGGAATCAGAGAGGTTCAACAGAGGCTACAAGCACGAGTGACCATTGCTGCCACTGATACAAGACTTTAACTGGTCATTCCACTCAAGGTTCCTCTTCCCTACGGGCAAGTTCATTCTTGTGGAGCCTGAAGCTCTTGGTGGTCATGCCTCAGTAAGGTTGTGGAATTTTCTATTAACCTTTGCTACTTATTTTGGTAGTTCTAGAAGGAATCCTAGGGCATCCCTCGAGTTCAACTTATATTCCTCCTGCCCTACTGAATAGTAACAATATCAATTTCTCTTCATCATCAGGATCAAGTACCACATCCAACCCAGTGAGCTCATTGTTATCTACCCATCAAGGAGCATGAGGAATCAGATATGACCAGTTCAATGAAACTGTTTTTGCGTGCCCTGAGAAAGGGATCCCCTCCTTAGGTGCTTACACCTCTAGACCAGAAGGTCCCAGAGTCATGGGAATTGAAAGCAAAATTTTTTAAAGTGGTTTATTATGTGTAATCATGAGAGCCATCATCTTCATCTTAACTTCTTAATTCCCAGATCCATAAATTATGACTATGGGAGAAAATGCACTAAATTCTAGGTATTGATTTAGATCATAACACATCTTTTGAGGCAGCATTCAACCTCTCGAGGTATTTTCTCCCAGCTGAGTCCCCTTGAGGCAATTCAATGATATCTAAGGCCATCACTTCTGGGGGCTGAGATTCATCAGGCTCCAAGTCAACCTTGATGAGGGACAGTCCATATGGTGTGGTTAGACATAGCTTCTCTATCAGTCACTTTGTCATGGAGCCCATTTTGGAAGCACTAGGCTGCCTGGGGAAGGGGGAAGACTTGCTGCCACCAAACATGTCTTCACTGATTGTTAGGCTCTATGACCGTGGAGGCCTTCTAGTGAGCACTCACCTGGGACAGGAGTATTTTCCAGCTCTGGCTTCATTCTGAGAGCTCCATCCATAGACCTTTTCCCTAAGTGTCTTCTCACCAAGCCTCCAGTTTTATTCTTTCTAATATTCTGGCCTTCCAGCCAGACATTTAGCTGTTACCCAAGAAACAATGCAGATCCTGGCCTGAGGACATCTCTCCTTCCAGGCCGAGTGGACTACGATGTTCTCTGTTGTCCTTCAGGAACACCCTTAAGAAGTGTCCCACAGCAGCCCAGTTCTGGCTGAAGCCACTGTGTGAGGCAGAAAGCCCAGCAAAATGTGAGAGACACTGTGTACTGATGACATGGTTTAAACACCTCAATTTGGCCTTTCTGGACCTTTCAGTGATGTCTCTATTTAGTGTTTGCAAACTGGAGTTAGATTTCTGCTTCGTACAATCAAAGATGTTATATTTGGGGCCCCTGGATGTAATGGACTTGTTTCACAGGGAGCTGTTGTCTTCTTCTTAGTTAGGGGAATTCCCACCATGTGGAGTCATCACATTCTCTGCAGAAGCCAGAGAGACCAGACTCTTCCTTCTCTGGCATCCAGGGCTCATACTCAAGACTCGGCTTGATTTAGTGGCTGATTCCACATGGGATCCAGAATCTGGAGCAAGTGAAGCAAACACCAAGGGTGCTGAGAAACAATTCTCAGCGACTGCCCAAGAAGGTACTGGTGATGGCGGAGACTGTCCTGTCCCAGTATGGATAATATCTCAGGGTGGCAGAGGGAATGCCCTGTCCATATTGTTCTCCACAAAAGATGATTCTTTTCTCCCGCCCTTGGCACCATGAAGCTACCTTGGGTTGCATTTATTTTCCAAGCCTAGTCTCCATCCTCCTGCTGATTTGGGGGAACTCTGATACTATTCCAACAAATTTCCCTTTTTTTTTTGTTTTCACTAAGAATCCAGAGTTGGTATCTTTGCTTGCCACTGATTGATACATACCAAGAGCCAGAGGCTGTATTTATTTCCTACATTAACAAGAATGCCTTAGGAATAGCAACTTCCACCGCAGTTTCAACCCGAGTAGGTTTATGAGCTCCCAGCCACTGTTGTCTAGGACACATCACTGGTTGGCATTGGCCAACTGGAGAGGTGAATAGGGTGTCATAGGAATCACTATTCTTGCCTCCTTCGAGCCTTGATGATGGCACCGTTCTCTCTACGTCCTCCAAGTATTTGGTATGCACTTTGATTTAATTATTTTGATAGAGATGTAAAACCCAATGGCCTTCACTGGTTTATCTCACCTTAATAGCCCCTGTCCATGGGTCTAGGTGAAGAGTCTACAGCTTTCAAGAGTACCCATTCCAGGTGTCCACTCAGGAACCTACAAAAACCCTCAGGTGACCAGCTGAGGGTTGGGTCCCAATGGTGAAGTGAACTCAAATCAGACATTCATTTATTACTTACCCCAGTAAGTATCCCCTCTGACCAGTAGACCATGGTCTGGGTCATTATGGGTTGTTCTGCATCCCAGTAGTTAGTGAAACCTTGGGGCCTGTATCCAACATTCCTGGGTATGTTGTGTTTCCTTTAACTAGCCCACTGTCACCTGAGGGGATGCTCCCCGGTCCATGGAGAGCAGATAGGAGGAATGTTCTCAGGTTGAATGTATGGAGTATGACGAGCCCTTTCCCAGACTCCTGGCTACCCTTTCCTCCAAGGGCTCTGGGTCTGTCCCATGACTCAGGTCTGAGAATAGGATGACAAGAAGAGACTGTCCAGCATGCTGCCCTTTGCCTGTTCTTCGCTCACCAGATTTTAGGTTTTACAACATAAGTGGACTGTCTATCAGTTCTATTGCTCAGGACCTCTGCATGTCAAACCTGGATCCCGATCATTACCCTCCATGCTGCCTGAAGTGACACCCATACTCTCTTTCCTTCTCACTGTGACCTGCCTCCCCTAGGGTTGACCTCTTGGGATCTCTTCCTCATAAAGAGATCAGGGTCTGAGCCTCACTCTTTAGTCTAGAGTGTTCCTAGTCA